ACCCGGCGGGCGATGGGCCGAGATCGAGCGCACTGCAAGTGCGCACGGAGCAGGGCCTGCCCTCTGCGCCGCGCAACATCTCCTTCACAGACATCACCATGAACAGCCTCGTGGTCGCCTGGCTGCCACCGCGGCGACGAAATGGCCCCATACAGTCCTACCTCGTCACCTACGAGACCATCGAGCAGGACGAGAGTAAGACATTTATAGCACTTCAACAATAATATCATCAATTCCTCAATAAGTTCAAGAAAAAACCGTTCCGAAATATAGATTATACATAGATAGATAATATAATAAAAATGTCCACATATAATGACAGATCGCGAGGATATCTCCATGTATTAATGTATATGAAATTACTTATGTATACATTAATAAATTGTATAACAGGATTCAGCAAACAAGTGAAACAGAAAGTGACGGAGGAGCGGCTGGCGGTGGGCGGTCTGGAGGAGGAGGTGGAGTACAGGTTCTGCGTGCGCGCGGTGACGGTGGGCGCGGGAGGTGCGGCGGAGGCGCGCGTGCGCACAGGCCCGCAGCCCGGCTCCCCCGCCCCGCCGCGCACCCTGCGTCTGCGCCCTGACCCCGCCGCCCTGCATCTGCGCTGGGACAACGCCGCCTCCGGCCGCGGACCCCTGCTCGGCTACTACATAGAGGCGCGCAAGAAAGGTAAAAACCGACAGCTATATGCCTCATATACTGATCTATCATTCTGCACCCTCTTTTACCATATTTTCTGTCTCTTTTCCTCTATATCCATACATCTATATTTTATTTATTAATAATATAGTTTAATGTATATTATATGTTTATCTATTTTTATTCGAGACTATTTCATAACAATATATTTTATTTTTCAATGCAGCGAAGGAAACATGGCAAGCATGTAAGTTTCGTGTCTACTGTAATGTGTATATTTAAAAAATTACTAAACAATCCCAAATCTTTATATACGACTCAAAAGATTATCCATCCTACGATTAATATAACTTACACATAAATAACAAATATATACAATTTTAACTCATTTATGTAAATCCTTCGTTACTAATATAATATGTATTTCTAATGATTTAAAAAAAATGTCTGTTACATAAACACTTGTACTCGTAAAGAAGGTAACTCGTTGGTTTGATAATGACACAAGCCCAATGTTCGTGTGCAGACGACACGCGGTGGGAGACGATAACGCGCACGAGCAACGGCATGCTGGAGGAGTTCACGGTGTCGTACCAGAGCCTGCTGCCCTCCACCGCGTACTCGTTCCGCGTGATCGCGTACAACGCGTACGGCATCAGCGCGCCCGCCGGCAGCGATAAGGTCATCGTCACCCCCTCCAAGCTGTACCTCGAGTACGGCTACCTGCAGTACCGCCCCTTCTACCGCCGCACCTGGTTCATGGTGGCCCTCGCCGCCGCGTCGCTCGTCGTCATCATCATGGTCGTCGCCATACTCTGCGTCAAGAGCAAAACATACAAATATAAAAGTAAGATATTATAATACCTGCTTTCCCTTTTCGTGTAAATTTTACTTGAGATAATCATTTTTCGAAATTGCATAATTCACCTCACCTTTATCCTCTCTTAGGGTATTATATAAATAACGAAGTTTGAAGTAAATCATCGGTTTCCATCATAATTCTAAACCCAATTTATAAAAAAAATCAGTGTACCGCTGTTTGACAGAAGAAGCGCAGAAGACTCTGGAGGAGTCGCTGGCGGGCGAGACGGACGAGCGCGGCTCGCTGGCCATGGAGCTGTACCGCTCCCGGCAGAGCTCGGTGGCGAGCGCGGGCGGCGGCGGCGCGGGCGGGGCGGCGGGCGCGGGCACGCTGCGCCGCAAGCCCCCCGCCGCCCTCGGCAAGGCGCCGCCGCGCCCCTCCCCCGCCTCCGTCGCCTACCACAGCGACGAGGAGAGCCTGCGCGCCTACGACGAGAACCCCGACGACTCCTCGCTCACCGAGAAGCCCTCAGAGATGAGCTCCTCCGACTCCCAGGTGATCACCATCAAAATCAGCGTCGTTTGAACGGTCCCACTCCGCGCCTACACTAAATTCTTATAAATTTCTTTCCACCCACACCCGAGGAGCGAGCGACGGTAAATATCAACGATTCGCTAACGCCCGTTTTGTTTCCGACACGCTTTCATTCCCGATCAGCACGATGTAGGCGAAGTATTTCTCCTTCAGATTCACTAAAGATATGTGATGTACATAGTTCTTGTTGCGTTTTATTTCGTCTAGTATCTTCGCTATATCTGTTCCATAGAATCATCTCTTTACCGAGTAAGAGCTATTTCGTCCATTTGAGTTAGAAGTAAAAAAATAGCAATAAGTTTAAAATTGTACAAAGTTCACCTTACTTCTTCACTAGACACACGAAAATCATTAGTTTTAATGAAATGTCATAAACATAGGAGTGATATTCTAGCAAACGTGCAAATCATGAGTGGTTTTGAATGTAAATAAATTGGTAAATGTAAAAATTATTTAATAGACATTAACGAAATCATTCATAATTTGCGAAAAACTCCAATATGCATGTGATAGAACAAAATACTATGATAAAATTGTAACAAAGAAAATTGTGTTATCAGAATTCTGAGAGCGAGAACGAGAGCGTGCGCTCGGAGCCGCACTCGTTCGTGAATCACTACGCGAACGTGAATGACACGCTACGGCAGTCGTGGAAGCGGCAGCGGCCTGTGCGCAACTACTCCAGCTACACAGACTCAGAGCCCGAGGGCAGCGCCGTGCTCAGCCTCAACGGCGGACAGATCGTTATGAACAACATGGCTCGCTCGCGGGCCCCGCTGCCCGGCTTCTCCTCCTTCGTATGACCCTCGCCCACCTCTCCCTCACCACCTCACACACTCCACGTCTAACTAGGGAAACTGTCGAATAATCCAATAACTCATCGCTAAAAAGTACAGACGATTTAAGATATTTTGATCTTCAATAAAATTGTTCTGACGCATCTTATAATACATACCAAGAATTGGGATAATAAATATATGGGAAAATCGTTGTAACGTAAAAGTATTTTAGGGCATAAATAATTTAAGTATTAGTAATAAATACAACAATGTTGTTGTTACACGATAGATAAGTTTTATCCTATTTCGACCAATGTTTACTGTAAGCTGTTTGAAAATGTTACAGTATTTATTGCACGTAGATTCATATGAATTATCGTCACTGATACAATTTATCGATTTATATTTAAAATGTAATATGGCAACTATTAATTAAATGCTATTTGTACATACATTTTTAGATAATGTAATTTAACTTTTATAGTTTTATTGTTATAGTTAAATATATTAATAATTTGTATCTATAACATAAGCATTTTGAAAAAAATCTTTTAGGTAAGTGAAATGCATTGATTTACTTATCTTACTAAAGATGTTATAGATAATTATGGAACAAATTATGAGAAATAGACAGTTTCAAAATAAACTATGTTTATATTAGAATTTACGTTTATGATCTCGTTACATATTATGTGGAGAAATAAGTTGTAGAGTTTCAAATAAAGCTAATTTTAACGCACGAAACTGAAGTACGCATCTCAATCTATCTAGTACTTTTCAAAATGAATTTTCTGAATGGTATATGGCAGCAGGTTCTTATTTTGCTTTAATTTTTGACGATAAATAAAAATAATATAAAAAATAACTATGACATTCCGAATTATGAGTATTTAATGCAGCTTTTTATAACATGTTTTTTTTTATAAAAGTTTTAAAACTTGTTGATAATTAGGTGCTGAAAGTTGTCTTAAGCATAAACAAATAAAACATATGTTGAATACTGTTATTTAAACATTGTATTCGTTTAGAAATTTCGTGTTAAATTTTACATTAAACATTCCTTAATCTTTTATGCTTTAAACCTGTCCTTTTGATATTCTTATATTTTACTTTTACGAGTCTTTTTTTATTAATTTTTATCGATGTCATACTTCGTACACTATGTATTGTTTAGTTTTATTATAATGAATTTGTAAATACACTTTATATAGAATAATTAGCCATTTAAAATCGGTCACGAAAATCGTATTAATTAATATCCCTTTGGTGTTATAAAAATCAATTTAATAGCTTAATTTTTGTAATATTTTTATAATAAAGTTGTGTAAGAACACAATTGACTGATAGATTATAGAGTATTAATAATAACAATCATAATGTAAACATACTTTGATGTAAATAAAAATGTATTTAATAATTAAACCCATTGACTGTAAACCAAGAATTTTAAATAATGCATAAATTTGGCACAAGATAACCAACTGTGATGTTTTATTAATTTCAAAGAATATCATTCAAATTCTCTGTTTCTGTAATTTCAAAATGTTCAACTGCATTTAGCGACCTTATAAATTGTATTTCCCAATGATTGTTATACAAGTGAGACTTGGTTTGTGTTTTATCAATAAATAAAATCCGGTGCCATTACGACTTAGCTACTTAAATTGTATTACCTGTGTAATGTTTTTGTTACACATCATTTACCTTTTTTTTTCTTTATACAAAGACTTGAATAAATTATGCAATAACACGAAACCTGTTTATTATCCTACTTTTTAATCCTTACTTTAAATAATTGATGTAATGGCAGAATAGTAAGAGCACCTTTCCAGTTACTTTCAATGTAACATCTGGTAAGTCAACAAATATTTACTTGCTTTAAAGATAACCCATGGAGGTTGTGGTTTCTACGCCAACCTAATAATAATGTTGTAAATACCGTTTAATAGGTTCATCAGATGGGTTTAAACTATGGGAAACAAGTTCAGAAAGTTTTCACAGTATAGTCAGATACTAACGGTTACTTAAAACAGTTTTGCCCTAACAAGTTACACGTAAAGGCTCCAGAGTGCGACAAGCTTTTTTCCAACAACACATAGGGAAAAGGAAGGATATTTATGTATACGAGGTTAATATAATTATCATAATGCACAGAGGGTCAAAACATTATATAAAGGCATTGTAAAGATGTTATTATTAAAACTTTATTTCTTATGTATAATAATGTTTACTTAGTCTATGTAACTATTACAAAACTAAACATGCTAAGTTATATCAGCTAACTTAATTATTTTCACAAAACTGTATACATAATCATTCATCTGCAAAGAGCTTAGTTCCTATCGAGCGTCAGCTTTGTAGTGGGATATAATTGTGAAGCATTCCATAATAAATACAATAAATACTTAAAATGAGTCTCGACATACTCAATATTACCATCATCGTAATGTATACATTATTTATTCTTTGTAATCGTCATCACAATGTTTTACATTTACAACTGCCGCAGATCATAAGTTCATTTGCATTTCAATAGTCCCTTACTGTTGGGCCGCAGCCGAACTTCTACACTGTACACTGCCACTATCATTGCGTCGTCTCGAATAGTTTCTCGCGGAAATATTTAATTTTTTGTGCAAAATACGCTTCCAGACCTTCCGCACAGCGATAGAACTCCGAGTCTTTCGGATTGAAGTATCTACAGTTGTCGAATATTTTAGTCATGTCACCGATAAATTCACTTAATGTACTGTAAGTTTGTTCATTCACTTTTCTCTCGACCGTCTGCAAGTCTGTAAATAACAAAATTGAAATTAGTTTAAACATAAAAAAATGTATCCTTGTATCATTGAGTAAGTTAGACAGTGTAATCTAAGCCAGATTTGTTTCGAGTTTAGGTAGACTAAAGCTAAGTAAGACATGTATTTTTGCAACCCAGAATGTGGTAAATTCTTAGTCTATCCTGATAGTTATGTTACAGCCAAGTTAATGAATACTCACCCATGGGTTCCTTTATTACTTTGTAATATGTAGGAGCTTCCCTCGGATCCACAGGCTCCATGAATGGCCACGCATTTTTATGCAATTGTATTTGTTTAACGAGCCTCTTTAAGTTTTCAAAGTCCTTTGCGGTCAGTTCCTTCATGTTAGCATAGTTGACAGAGTTGTTCTTCTGACAGTTGGGGCACACGTACTCATCGATGTTGTCCGCCTCCGACTGCAAGATGCCGACGCATCGCCCATGGAACCAGTCTTGGCATCTATCGCAACATATGTAGAACCTACAAACAGTAAGAATTATTTAATAATTTTTAAAACATTAAAATTATCTAACGTTAAAATAATTATTAATTTTCTACGATCTTGTTCTCAATAACAATAATATAATTATCAACTAAGCTGTATTTATGCATATGTCTCGAATAACATTACTTAATAGTCTCGGTACGTGAGCACGGTATTGAATCAAGGAAGTTATAATAAGAGGAGGCAACTAACTGGGAGTTATCGTATGGCTGCCGGCAGAGGCAGTAGAGCTCCTGCGTCTCCGCGGCGCGCCGGCACTCCTTGCACACGTACTCCTCCATCGTCTTGCTCATAGCCTCCGTCACGCCCACGCACTCGCCGTGGAACCAGTTGCTGCAGTGCTCGCAACCCACGTAAAATCTGAAATTAACCACAAACAGACCTTGTTTACTGGCAATCCCATCAATCAGTAGGCAGTTATTGAGCTGCAAAGTGCGGACTCGTTACGACTAGGTAGCTAGTGACGGTGCGTGTCTCACTTGGTGTTGTCGTAAGGCGTGCGGCAGACGCAGAGGAGCTTCTCCTTCTTGGCGGGCTTGCGCGTAGTGCGGTTCTGCGCGGTCCGCTTGCCGCGCACCTCCTCCTGCTTGCTACGCTCTGCACGGGTGCGCAGCGCCAGCTCCGTCGACAGCTCCTTCTGTACACAATACACACGTCATTTACAAAACATACTCTCAATTTTTAATGGCATGTTAATATGACAAGATGGCATCGGGAGTAACCTGTATATCTACACCGAGCTCCTTTTCAAGTAGGCCGCGTTTCTTTATTATGTCCTTTTTAAGCAACTCCTTGTGTTTAAAGAGCAGCATTTGCAGACGGGACTGGTTGTTGGCGTTACGGCGGCGCTCGTCCGCGGCGGGCGAGGCGGAGGTTGGTGTGGCCGGGGTGACGGGCGTGGCGGGAGAGGCGGAGATGGGCGCCGGTGCGGGTGAGGGCGCGGCGGCGGGCACGTGGGCGGAGACGCGGTGGGCGGGCGTCGGTCGAGAAGGCGTGGGTGGCGCGGGCGAGGGCGCAGGCGGCGGAGTGGGAGGGCGCACGCGGGAGCGCTTGCGTGGGCTGGTTCCGCTCTCCAGCCACTCGTCGTCGTCGTCGTGTCGCGAGGAGAGCGCGCGGCGGCGCGGCGGCGGGGGCGGCGAGGGCGAGCGCGTGACGGCTACCACGGCGCGAACCTCACGTTCCGGCGGCAACTCCGGCTTCATCTGTTTCTCCTGGTATCGCTGCAGCTGCAAGAGTTTCTCTTCTATCTCGGGGTTTAGGTTTTCTTGCTTCAGTGCACTTTTTATTGCTGAAATTATTAATGGATTAGATTTACGATTAGTGGAGTAAAAAAATAAATTGTTTATCTTATACTTTTACAATTAAATTGATGAGTAATGAGTCTATGGAGAATAGTTTTGTAATAGCAAAGGCAAAGATGGTATTGTCTTTGGCTAGAATTCCTTCTGCTCCATATGTTTCAAAATAACATTTAGGTGACGATGATGATCTGGTGATATCAGCAACATTACTAGATATTTTGAACTACCACTACTTAGGCTTGTAAACTTGTGAAATAAAATAAATAACTTACTCTGCTGTATATAGTCTGGAGTTAAAATAAATTTATTGCCTTGCACGGTGTCGTGGACAGAGTTAACTATGTCAGTTTTAGTGTTATTCTCAGGTATGTCTTCGGGCTTGGAAGGCATCGCCTCTTTATGGCTGGCCGCCACTGCTACCTTGTCCTCGCCGTTCACTAAGGACTGACGTTTTGTCCGGTCCTCTTCATTACCTTCCTAAAATTAAAAATGCTACATTTGTTGTCATTTTGCACCATTCACTTCAATATCATTGAATCTGAAGTCATCCGATGACTAACACTCAAAGGTAAAAGTCAATTATTTCATCCAAATAATGACAGAATATTCCATATCCAAGAAAAATTCTTTGTGATATTGTAAATTTTCGAATATTCTCTAAACTAATAGTCAAGATCAAAATGATATCAATGGAAATGTAACAAAAAATGATTTAAAATGACGTAAATGATGTAAAACATGATACAAAACATAAAAGTATAACAAAAATGAATAAACAGCCGTTTGTGGGAATATATCAGTTGAAGTTATAATACATGGAATATGTACGATATTTGCTTTATATTATATAAATGTACATAAGTGTAAAATGACACTTTATCTTTTTAAATTAAAAAACTTGAACATATGCTTAGGTACGCAATTGCCCATACACCCCCACAAAACGTTTAACATAAGATGCAAAAAAAGGTAAAAAGAAACAAAGACATATATAAAGAGGACTTAATAAATAAAAGTCGTTCCTGATTATAATATTTTATTGAATTGTTATTGCACTAGCCATTCATCATTTACTGTATCAGACTATCAACTAGAGGGTACAGACACGGTAAGGTGGTGTATGAGCAATTTGTTACCGCAACCATTTCCACACTCAGTGGGACTCAACTCACTACAATCAATACTTTATAACAATACAAATCAAATATTTCCTCATATTGTACAATTCCACATTAACCAATACAACATACAACTGCATACATTACTCCTACACAATATCTTTAGAAGAAAACGTACCATCGATATAGAACATTTCAAATTGACATACCATGGATATTGTAAAAAAATAGTCTCCTTACTATCCTAAGATAACTATTAGTGTGAACCCGACAACTAATCACATGTTGTGTTACCAAGTGTGTTCCACACATGTTCATTGTTGCAGAGCAATAAGTTAAAAGAGAAAACTTACTCATTCTATTCCTAATCCAACTGTTGATATAAAATATTGATTATTTGTAGATTTTATAAAAAACTTTTCCGTAACATTACACTATATATGTAAAAATGACCAAATTGTCTTGCACAATCCACTAAAATGTTGCGTAAGATCAAAATAATACTGCAAATTAACTATCGTTACTCTATGGAAATCTTATTTAATTTTACTATGCAGTTTGAAAGTGCGGAAAATAAAGGTACCGAAATGTGCGTATTTAATTTTTAGATATCAAATATAAGATATATGTAAATAATACATATATAGTTTTAACATGACTAAACGAAGATGTTTATATATTGACGATTTTGAAATCAAGGCGGGTAGCAGAGTCGAAAAGCAGGTCTGCAGGAACATATAAAGTTATTAGCCGTCCGAAATAGTGACACATTTTCCGCGTTTTCACTGCATCAATTATATTACACATTGTCTAAATTATCACTAACAATATACACATGTAAATCTTTGGTGTAAAACAAATGCTAAGAGGATCCCTCTATAGTTTCAATTCAAGAAACAAAATAAATCACAATTTTGGACATCGCAAGAAATACTATTATATGTTTAAGATTAACAGTATATTTGTAAAGGAGACTAAACATATCATATACTGTTGATTTCTACCAATGTGAGGTTTTCTTTTTATGATGTCTAAAATTGTGTTTATATTTTATGATGTCCAGTCTTTATAACTTTATAGTAGTCTATTTACATATATATACGTACGAGTACGAGACTAAAGCTATACAGATTATCTTAACAGTCCACTAGTGATGGTGCAAAGTATATCATATGGAATATTGTGTACAAAAATGATTTTATTTATTTGCTTTACATAAAAGTATAAGACACAAAACCAGTCTTTCGAACTTAATCATATCTAAATGTTTGACAGCTTCACTGTTTAAGTGGTATATCTTAAATACTATCTTTGATTTTCGGTTAGCAGTGAAACATTTTGTATTTCTTTGATGTTGTGGTTCTTTGTACTTGTGGATTGTTTGCACCATACAACTCAGGAACTAATACCTTATGCATTTGGTGTCTTTATTGTTACCAAAAAAGTATTTTATTGATGCACAGTATATGACGATAAATTATCATTTTAATATTCTATGGGTTAACTCTACTCGCGTGACATGTTGCTTAAATAAAACACATGATCTGAGCCCCACAAACCAGAAGCATGTTGATTTTCTAAAAAATATTGGTTTTGATATATAGATTCTAGCCATATGAACTCAATAATTTAGGACAACAAAAAATTCGACGATCGTAATTTCTAGTTCTTAAATGATCAAAATTATATAACCGCTTAAATAAGCAGTTAAATGCAGCAATAATTGTTGTTTGATATCGTAAGCATATATTGTGCTTCTACTATGACTTTTTGATTTGACCGACTTTACGCAACGTGCGGATTTTATAAAACTGTTTCGAGTACAAATTAGTTGAGGCATTAAAACACGTTTCTTTAAAAAATATTTTATATCGTCTGTGTTATGTCAATTTTTCATAAATGCAAATACGTAATAAAGAACGTTCTAATAATCAATTATGATAACTTTGCACCTACAATTGGTAATGATACATGACATTTTATAAGTTACAAGTTAAAACGAAGTAATTATGATAACCATAGATTAGCTTCAATTTGTTCAATTCTAGTAGTAATAGATTACCTGGTGCGCGGGCAGCGAGAGCGCCTGCAGCGGCTGCAGCGGCTGGATATGCTGCAACGGCTGCAGCGTCTGCAGCGGCTGCAGGGTGGGCGGCGCCGCCACGCCCGCCACGCCCGCCACGCTCGCCACGCTCTGCACGCCCGCCAGCGCGCTCGGCGTCGCGCTCGGAGACGGGTGCACCGCCAGGTACATCTTCCTGGGACCCAGCATGCCCTGCTTCCCCGTCGACTCCTGGGCTGTGAATCACATTCATTGTACCACATTAACACAATGCATTGTATTTTACTATTTTATAACGTTATACGCCTGGAAATAGTGAACATGTAATGGTTACAAAATATATATAATAATTGCTTACAAATGAGCCAATAAAAATTTTATAATTTCGGAAGACGAGACAGAAAAACATTTTATGTTGTCGCAACCGATTTTGAAAATAATAGCAGTAAGTTAGCGCCAACCTTTCAACAGTTGCTGCTTGACCTGGTGCTGCACGAGGGCGAGCTGCTGTGGCGACAGCGAGTACCCGTGCAGACCCTGCAGCACGATGCTCGGCCCGCTGCTCGTCTGCATCACCTAAAATACACACAACACAAACTTAAATTAAAAAAAACATAAAGGTTACTCAATCTTATATATAAAATTCTCGTGTCACAATTTTCGTTCCCATACTCCTCCGAAAAGGCTTGACCGATTCTCATGAAATTTTGTGAGCATATTGAGTGGGCGAATCGTGAATGGGTGAATCGGCCAACATCTATTTTTAATCCCGCGCCGCGGACGGAGTCTCGGGCGACAGCTAGTTTCATATAAATCTAAATTAAATCATAGCACGGTTATCAACACTTAGTTTCAAAAGAAGTGTGGGATATATGAAATTTAGAGGAGACTAAATACTAGCACAATGATATTCTTTTAAAGAGAATATTAACCTGTGCCGTGACAGTTTTGATAACTGTTCCTGGGGGTTGGCCTGCTAAAAGTCGTTTTTCCATTATTTGATCCTCGGTGAGCTGCTGCTGGGGCGAGGAGGAGGGCGCGGCAACGGCGAGTGCAGGGGCGGGGCGTGGCGTGGGCACTGCGGCCGGAGCCACGGCGCTAGCCACCGCGACGGCCGGCGCCGGACTGGCGGGCGTCGCGGTCGGGCTTTGTCCGATGTGCGCGACTATCTGTGCCTGATTGTTTCCGGTCGGACGAATCAACACTTGCTGACCGTTAACCGTCGCGAGCTGTATTTTTCCCGCGGCGATCTGCTGCACCAGCACTGGGTTGTTGACTACGATCTGTTGCGTGGAGGGGCGGGGGCGCGGAGGCGGCTGGGGGCGCGGCGGGCGCTGCACGATCTGGCCCTGCACCAGCACGGTCTGCACGGGCTGCATGCGCGGTGCAGCCACCGGTCGGGCCCCCGCTTGAACCACCATCTGCTGCGCAGGCTGCACCACCAGCTGCTGCGAGGGCACTACCACCTGCTGGCCCCCCTGCATCACTATCTGCCTGCCGCCCTGCACGATGCTCTGCTGAACCTGTGTCGGTTGGGTAACTGCGCGACTTGCAATGGATGTCTTTGTTTCTTCTATACTGGTTTTCGGTGCAATAGGTATCTTATCCGTATTATCTTTAGTTGAACTGTCGGGCTCCGTCGTTTTTGTCATAGACGAAGTCGCCACCAACTGTCCGGTTACACCTTGTTGTCCGGCCATAACGACGTGCAATTTCCCATCCGGCAATTGTATTAGCTGCTGTCCTGCTAGCAAACCTCGGACAGTTATCTTGCCGTCAGGCGCTCGGATTATTTGAACCTTTTGTGGTCCGTCTTTTGGAGTATTTGGAGTTTTCGTTGCATCCCCCGTGGCCAAAGTTTTTGTCACGCCTGTTACGGGCTGACTAATAACACGGGTGGTACCATCTGCACCTTTAGTCATTATAATTCTCCTCGTGCCGATGACAGTTTTCTGACCGGTCGGTGTCGAGGCATTTGTAGTCAACAAGGAAGTTAACGTGCTTTTCCCAGAATTTTGGTTGGGCGTCTTCAGTTTATCTAAAACGAATTAATTTAGTTAATAAAAGTAAAATACTTCACATATATCTCAGATATACATGGAGATGTGCATTCAACAAACCTTGTGACATTTCTAAAGCCCTCTTCTGTTGATGAGCGACTCGTTGATCGCGCAATTGCTGCTCCATCTTGTCTTTAAGGTCGGCGGAGTTGGGCGGCGCCGGTGCAATGTTTCTCTGAGGCAGTTTGCCGGTAGTTTGTCGCGTCACGGGCGTAACGCGATCTGCGCGTTCACCGTATTGACGTACCTCCCACAGTTCTAGTTTGTCCTCGTCCACCCACTCCTCTGATACCTTTAAAAATTAAAGTAAAAGAAATTAAAATATTTATAAATTAATATGACAGAAAGTAATGTTTTAAATATAGTTTTATAATAAATATTGTAAAGTCATTAAGCACAACATACCTGAGGTTCTGTGTTCTGAGGAGACTCTGCGCGCTTGCGTTTTCTCAATCCACTGCGAATTGACGTAACTTCACGAACTGTTTTGGGTAATTCAAGAGGAATAACAACTTTTCGACGAAGATATTGCGTCCGTTCTGAAAATTGACCTATATGTCGATGTTTCAACAATTCTAGTGAAACTATTTCAGTGTCCGTCGTTAGCTGGTGTTTGCCATCAGCCGTGGCCGGTTTGGCGGCCATGTCGTCCCACCTCAAACAGGCCCACATAATTCTCAGCTGAAGCGCCGCACTGGCCAGCCACTGCAGATTCACGGTGCGGTACAGCCAGCAGGTCTTAAACAGCGGCCTGGCGCAAGGGTACGGCCATACGGACTGATTGGGTTTCGCACTGTGACTGAATCCAGATACTGAGCTTAGTCCCGATTGTCTACAGAGCTTTCTTAATTCGTGATGCGGTAAAACCATAATAGTTTTAGCTTTGCTTTTGGTATGGAATGATGAACATAGAGGATATTTTACGGGAGTTCTCTTCTTTTTCTTCTCAATAGCAGATGTCTGCACTCTTTTGAGATACACTTTCCCTTGGGGGTTTGTAGTAGAGTACACTCTAACCACTCCATCGACTTTTTCTTCTTTTATAGACTTGTCTTCTTTTTTCATGGCCCTTGTAAAACCAAACCTCCTATTAACAGTCGCCCTGTACTTCGGTTTATCATCCTTCTTATTTGGTGTAACTGAGTAGTCATGAGATGAATCTCGCGCATTATTACTAGACCCTAATATCACCGTATTGCTAGATTTACTAGATCTTCCGCGTGTTATTTTTAATTTAGGTATCGGTGGTCGAGGTTTACTTTCATCATTGCCACCATCATTTTGCTGGTCCTGGTGTTCCCCTTCAGTTAATTCTTTCAATGGGCCAATTTCAACATCACCTTCTTCGAAACTATTAGATGTGATATCAATGTCCATTTCATTTCCAACAGCAGGCACAGCTTCTTCTTCTAAGGTACTCTCAGATTTTATAAGACATGTTGATGGATCATGGTCCATCTTTTCAAGCTTAATACCATCTGCACCATCATTAGACTTTCTTTTTACGAAACAGTCAGTATTTTTATTATCACATTCTTGTGCACATGCTACAGCAGATAGTAAATCAGTTAATATATTCTCTTTGGAATTTGAACTCTTACCTAAAAGGTATTGTTCTAAAATTGACATTTTATTGTTTTCATTAGAATTGAGTGTTGAATTAATAGTACCATCTTTTAACACTGACAAAAGTTCATTCAATAACTTTCCTTTTTCAATACACAGAGGAGAATAGCAATTAACTTTAAAATCAACAGCTTTAACTGATATTTCAACATTGTTGCAGCCCGGTGAATAACATTTGTAGTGTTTAGTTAACTGATTCAGTTTTTGATATTGATCTCTGAGACCATCCATATTTTTAGTTATGCTGCTGGAAATCTTTGGCTTTGAGTCAACAGTTGGACCACACATGGATGTTGGGTCTACCTCAGTATCTTCAGATTCCACATCTATATTTTTTTCTTCTTCACACTTTACATCTACCTCCTCCTCTTTCTTTATATTGGCAAGCAAATTATTTAACTTCTTTTCTTCCATGAATTTCAAATATGTACGGCGCGCAAGAAAATCATCTAGTTTAGATTTTCTAGCGATTTTTGGGTAATATCTTCGAGTTGAAGAACTCAAAGCTTTTTCCACATCTATTTCTTCAAAATCATCACACTCCTTTTCAAGCTTCATGTTGCGCATCGAAGGTGGTACTGCAACACAATTATAAAACATATTATGAAAATGCTAGAATTGTTAAGCATTTTTTATAATTAAGTCCTTGCTTAAAGTATCAAGGAAAATAGTTATTACTAATAGTAATTACGTTACTAATCAAGGAAATCCTTATATGCAAGCCTTGAAGTATCTATATCAATATTTGACACAAAAGCCTTATTTATGAAAGTTTCATAACTCACATTTCTGTAGAACATCTTCATCAGTTGCATCAGATGTAAGGTATTCATAGGTTTTTGGTTCAACTGCTAATACTTTTATTGTGTTCCCTTCCCTGACTCTTACAGCCATTTTAGCAGGACCATTGAGTAGAGTTAGTTTGGGATTTGCATTATGTTTTTTAAATTTCCTTGTGGATGAGTTCCATAACCAGCCCCATTGTCCATGAATTCTATATTCTTCTCCTTTTTGTTTCCATACCTTAAATTATAAAAAATTGCAGAAATTAACTTTAATCTAACATTTCATCATGCTTTGAAGAGATGAAACTAATGTCACCCACAACTTAACGTAGACTCAAGCCCCTTGTTGGGGCATACAAACTGAAAACATGAATATTATTTATTGGCCTTATCTACATACTGTATTAAATATTTTCCTAACGATTATAAAAATCTATATAATCACCTGATGGTGTAGCCCTAATGAGTATTTTACAAAATTATATGCAGTTCTGTATCTTTCTTCTTCTTCATCTCTCTCCTTTTTCTCTCTTTTATCTAGCTTTTTTCGTTCCTCTCGTTCAGCAGCTGTGGTTCTTATTAACCTCACATGACCTAACTGTTCATGCCAAGCCTGCATCCATGCGACACTTTTGATACATGCCTGTGAAATAAAATTGATTTTCACATATAATTATCAAACAAAAATTTTATAGAAAAAGGTGATACTAGAGTAATAGTTACCTGTAAAACACAAAGAGCTCTTGCAAAATCTCTAGGTGCTTGGCATAACTGTACAGCTTGCACCCAAGGCTTTCTTAATAAAGACCAATTTGGATGCATGAATTGCAAAACTATATTGGACTCCAAGTTTAGAAGAGTTTGCCTTAAAGTAGCTACCAACAAGGGTTTAGTTGCTGAAAATTAAAATATTGTAGTAATATTTTTCAAAGTCATTAAGATACAGGGTAAAAAGTAATATTATAAAAATGGAAACATACCATTGAGTAAACCAATCCATTTAAATTCTTGTCCTGAAGATAGAGAAAATTTATGAGAAATGTATCTCTTTTTATCTCTTTCTTCATTTCTTTGCGGTTTGTTTAATGCTAAAGGATTGCATGTATACTGGTTTATATAGGATTTGAATGCATTCTCATTTCCCAATTTGAAAAGGTAGGTTCCATTCGAAATTTGATTAGATTTCAATCTTGTTAACCTTTCAGACCCTGAAAAACAATTGAGAAAATAAATAAATAAATTTGTGACAAGAGAATACATTGCTTGCAAAGATAAATTCAAGAAAAATTACCATCATCACATTTCTTTTGCATTGATAATTTAGTTTTATTGTTTTGATTATTTTTTTGCCTTTTACAATCTTCATCATCAAAATCTTGATATCCATCACTGTCTTCTTTTGGGTTTTCATCACTTGTGATGGTAACTTCATTGACCACATCACTATCAGCATCTAAGGATATTTCATTTTCATCTTTACCATCATCTATTCTTAGATCATGATTACCATGTTGACCATGTTTTTTCTCTTCCCTTAAACTTCTCTCTTTAATTAAATTTGCATTCTCCACTTCCAAATAAGACTTTCTGTTCCCTTTCACTTGATTTGTTAGTTTTTCGGTTATATCCATTTGCCTAATAATTTCCTCCTTCATTTCTAAAAGCTCTCTGACGAGTGGTGCTTCCATTTCATCTCCATCTAATCTTTGAAAAAATTCTTGAAATTGTTGTGAAGTTGTATAGTACCAGACATCACCATTTTCAGCCTCTCTGGAACAATATATTTTACTGTATTATAAAATTCCATATTAACACACATTGCACAACATAAAAATAGTAGAGTTTTAACAAGAAGGCCTAAATATATACTTACATAAATATGCGCCTTGCTATAAACCAATATTTCCTGCCATGCCTATCAAATCCCAAGTGTTCATGACGGCACAGTAGACCCTGTTTCTCAGCATCAGGGAGACAGTCAGTTACACCTACAGTTTTATGTTGTTTACACAAGGCACACTGCCAGTCCTCCGAAGGCACATCAACAAGAGGAGGATCGACACATTCAAGATGAAACACTGCAGGACAAGTTTCACAGCACAACAAGTCTCCAAGACGATGGCAAACTCGACAATGGTCATCATAAAGTACAGGACCTGTGATAAAACATGTAGTCATTTACACATACAGTATATTATATTGATAATTTTTTACTTTATCATTTTATCACTAATAACAATGGTTCACAAGTCTGCATAAGAACATGATACAATTTAACTAAAAACTTACAAAGATATAAATATCTGAAAACTAAGTGTTTTACATTTACATTGGGTACTAGGAAGGTAGATAGAGATTAGGTTATTTTAATAAGAATTGTGAAATTTACATGCACTTATGTTGTTGGTTATAAAATTAATTTGGAGTATTTTATAGTACTAACCTTCACTTATGAGGTCATCACGAACAGGGTTTGTAATTAAAAATTGATTGCACAAGAACTGCAATACATTGACACGGTCTTCCACAGATGTAAATGGATATTCACTTGAATTTAAAATCTTTGCCACATTTTGGTCAAACGATTTATCACTTTCAACATACACTCTCAGGACTTCAGGCCAGGTCATAACATCCAATAAAAACAAAGTAATATTTACACTATCTTTATGATCTAAAGGACCAAAATGTGTTTGTTGTGCATCCTCTTCTCTTAATAATGCCTTTAGCAACATTATATGTATTTCTATTAGTAGGTTGCTTTGATCCTCACAGCTTATAGCTGCACATAAATCTTCTAAACGAAATGGAGACAACCTTACAAGATGCCTGAAGTGACGCAATACTTCATATATACCAACAACTTGCAACACCAAATTATGGGGAATAATAAGGTCATCAGATGAAGAAGGCAGTTCCAGTGGAGGGATTTTTCTTTCTTCTTGTAGCCACAGGGGATCAGGGCTAGGAGGTCTAATTAAATTGCTATTAATTTTTCGGGGAGTACCACCTGTCGAACTGCAACTGGTAATAGAGAAGTCGCTATCACTGGCTGCACCATCAGCCGCGATACTCCCCTCCGAACTATCGCTGGCTCGGTCCTCTTCCGGCTCCGATCGGTCACTAAACTCGTCGCCAAAATCAGATCCATAATGATATTCTGATTCGTGATATTCTGCTGCTTGAGGATTGTATCCTCTCCGTGAATATGAATTTGATAAACCGCCTCTTTTACTCTTATGTGTTTTTCCGCCTCTTTGTTTTCTAGTACTTCGTCTACTAATATCGCTTCCTTGAGGAGACGATGCTCTGGACGCCGACGGAGTACTCACAAGGGAGCCAGATCCAATATTTTGATTTTGTAAATATTTTGGCTTTTTCAATAAATGAAATTGAAATTTTCTATTTTTTTCAAAACTTGCAGATTTTGGGGGCCTCCCGCGTTTTTTCGCCCCCCTTCCCGACATCCTTACTATCAACTGTCAATTAACAACTATTTTGCACGTGTATTGCAAACACATTCTTGTTTACAAAAACAAAACCATGTATCTAATTGTATTTAGACTCATCTTAAATCTATAGCATTCATGGTCCCAGCCGTTTGAGTTGCGTACTACAAACTGAATGTCATAACTTTAATAACTGGATTCACACAATTTTTTCACAATTAATTAATAATATTACAGTTCACTGATAACAGACAAGTACTACTCAAATTTTATCAAAGAAAGAAGGCACCAAAATCGTAATGACGCGAAATGTGAATAGGTACATGCAATTCTGAAACGCTCGAAGCTGTCTTCCCATTGGTCAATAATCAGTCCGCCATGTCGTTTTTGTAACTTGTGGATTATTGAATTTAATGGAACAACCTGGGAGCAAATTTTCTTCACAAATATTGTTTGAGTCAATGAATAATTACAGAACAATTTGCAGCATACGTAATAATATATTCAGAAGTATCAATTGCACCAATCACTTGTCTAGGATATAAAGTAGAAGTTTGGATCTGCGTCGTAGGCAGCCATTTTCTTTTTCCGAAAAAATGTCAAAATAAAACTTAGTAGTTTTACTGTTTACATAATTCCTTCCTTTAAGTTTCTTTTGGTAAATTTTATTTAAAAATAAAGCTTTCTTTAAACATTCTTACTTCAGAACTATTGTACAGAAAAAATTAAGTAAATGGGAATTTAGAATGCTAAACAAAGCGGAAAAAACATACCAACATTACAGACAAACGACTATAGTTTAAAATAAATTACACTGTTATAAGCAGGCTACAGCTGTGGTTATTACTGGCAGTCCCAAAATATTAAAATATCCAGAGATCCTATCTAGTCGCTTTTAGGGATTGTTAGTTTATAGCCAAATGTACAAATACAAATACACTGATCAATAATCTAGGAGCTTTAATTAGAAAGTTTAAAAAAAGATAAAAAAAATGGTAATATATAGTGAAGATAAAAAATACACTTAAATTCATAATAGAATTTTTTTATCGAGAAATATAGAAAAATCGTTAAATGAAAAACGAATAGTACCAAAAATCATTTCTTGTAATAAATGCAACAACCTTGCAACATCATTGCTATGCACTGACCTCTGGAAATGGACTAGCTAAAAGTCGTAGTATATTGTGCCTATTTGGTTTCCGCCATTTTGGCGCTGATAGCAAATTATTTTTTGGTTTTCGATGTAATGTAAGGCGGTATCACTCTCTGGTTAGGATATTAAATTACTCTTTTTTCGTTTGTAGAAAAGGAGCGATTTTATTTGTCTTCAAGAAAGTTGGCTTACACAAATTGAAGTAGTCTAGTTTCTGGTTGGTGTCTGCGTGTATAAATAAAAATGTATCACATGAAAACGATTGTTCCCGTGGAAGATAATATAATGTTACCACAGTGCATGTATTATTTAAAAAATCCGAATAATAACTTGAAAATCGATGAAGTAGAACTTAATATCAGTGACCAGGTTATGAGGTTTCTTAAGGTTTATTTCAATATCATTTCAACTAATTTAAATATTTCTATATAACCTATTACAAATGGATAAAAATAGACAAATCCTACAAGATTTAACAAGTTATAATATCGTTTCATTATGATTGCTTATTTTTATAATGTTAATTGTTATATTATTTAAATAATGAAAATACTTCTATCTCTATATGTGTGAATTTCATTCCTTAGAATTCATCGTTATAAAATTATTTATTTTAATTCTTAACACATCAGGACGATTACGATTGCTTACACAAACATTATGTATTTCCAGAATTCACCCAATAAAACCATGATAGAATTGGAACAAAGACAAACTCAGTTGTTGCAAAAATTGGATGTACTTTATGATAGAATTAAAACAATCAGTACTTTATGCAAACTGGATGTTCAACCTAAAATTGCTACTAGGAAATCAGAACTGGTAAATATAACTCGCTAATTAAACATATGGATTGGGTACAATAGTAATAAAATCGTTATGATTAAAATAATAAATATAGAGGATGTACTGATGATGATTAAAATTTTACAGATATTGGAACCTGAAGAAATTGTTGTAGTACTTGATCCCAAGATTTTGCCAAGTTTCCTTGGACTGTTTTTAAAAAGAAGCCCCAATTTGCATGTAACATGGCATATTCATTCATCAGTATCAACAGAAGATAGTTTTAAAATCAAAGATTTTTTTAAAAATAAGCCAGATTTAAGCTTCAACAATTTAAATGCAAATAAGATTGCGGTATTGAAGAATAGAACCAATTTGAGACTGATATTTAAAAATGGTGAGTAGACACAGCTTCACTAACTAATTTATTCTGTTTCTGTATTATTTTAGGAAAAGTTTAAATATAAAGCTCCATTAACAAGAAACTTGATTTTGCCATCTGCACGGAATTTAGAAAAAAAGATGATATGTATCATATTCAATAGTGTTGATCAATTCAATCATATTCAGTAGTGTTGAACCATTGAGGAGTTATCAAGTAAATATGTTAATCAAATATATTCCATAGAAACCACACACATTTGCTGAATCATAGGTAGCCTATGTGTTCTTTCAGTCTATGGTCAATATAAATGCCAAATTTCATGTAGATCCATGTAACCATTCTGAAGATACCTTCAAACTAACATCCATTCATACATTCCCATTTATGTTAGTAACATTAAAATTCATGCTATAATAAAACCTACAAAACTAAGTCATGTGAAGAAACCTGCCTTAGTATATGCTATGAGACTGAAATAGGTAACATTCTCAAAGTGTGTTTTAATTTTTTATATAGATAAGATATTTATGAATGATTAAGAACATTAACTTCTTAGTTTCAGCCTCTGCGGAATTAAGGATGTCTTCGCTAGATGTGCCTTTAGTAGGCATAGTTAACATACTGCGCTTCCTTTGTTTACTTTATCCAACAGTCATACAATACGATCAAAATGACTACTTCGTAGACAATTTGCTGGATCAATGCCATTTATTAGAGAAGACGTCTGGAAAACAGATGGAGGATATTATCACCCAAATCTTTTTCCAGTGTAAAGGTTGGGTCTACAAAAACGAATTATCAATTGTTGATGTAGCTGCTTTCATAATAATTCAAATGAAAGGTGTTGTAAAAGCAGTCCCTAAAACCTGGTACAATAAATGTGAAAAAACATTTATGTAAAATTTTAATACTTAATCAAAGTTTTAATATATAATCAAATAATCTTGTTTTATTTATTTCCAAAAATTATTAACAGTGAAATTTTTTAGGTTAATTTTTTTATTTCGAAAAAGCGCTAACTATTCGAAGCTTCTAGCGCCATCTATATTCCATTAAAACAATCTTCGCAACAAAAAGATGTACAATGTTACTATTTAACTCAAAAAAAATAGGTTAAGATATACGCTGTTTTTTCCTTAAAGACC